TTTTTTTAACAAAACCAAAACAAAATGAAAAGTTCAAAGTCTTCCTACTACCTCCATCCCTGACAAACCGACTGACCTGGACACGAGTGGCGCAGAGCTGACCGTCCTGGGACACTGCACCGGGCCTGTGTCCTGTGGAGCAGCTCGGGCCGCCTCAACACAATGGTCGCTGGCTATCGAACAGCAATTTGCCCTTCCGTCAGCAAATGACCATAGGTGTTTGAGAAAAAGCAGCGGCGACGGCGACAAGTTCGATATATGTCCATTGGTGCATTATGTGCTAGAGTCAAATATGCCATTTTGTCAAGAAGAAGTCCTCTACAGGCAAGTCACGTTTACCGAGCAGTGCAAACTATGGGCGTCGCAGTTTCGCCATTGTGAGAGAGTCACTAGGTGTTTATATTTTAGCGCGGCTGGAAGCGACTGTTGACCTTCCGTCTCGCTAGGCTAGGCGGGCAAACTGCATGGAAAGGTCACTTGGTGGGTTATTAGGTATGTCCCTTTGCATGACTTGTCAATTGAGCTATTGGGTTGCCCACAGTAAGGTCATAAGGGCAGGTGGAAGGCTCAGGCGCTTAGCCACGACACCCGACTAAACACTGTTATTCTAAAAACTCTCGTGTCTGGCAACATTTCAATCCAATCATGATTTAACCCGCGCCCCGTTGGGGTCTGCCGAGCAACGCGCCCTGTTGGGGGAGGGCAATATGCTCCCCCCCCCCCCCTAAGATCTCGAGAACCACGCAACATAGCGACAAGCAGCAAACAGTGTTGGATAGCCCCAACGGGGATCTACCTTGTGACCCAATTTTATTCACCTTAAACCGATGACGTCACAGATCAGGTCAAATGTCGAATTTTCACAGTTTACAGGCATTTCAAGAAATGTGTTGTAAAATCAAGTAAAATGATGCCTACACTGAAAACAATTTAACCCAAGGCTGGCGAGTAAACCGGTGTTTTACGGGTACCCCTATCCGCAACCATTTTTAACCACCCTCCCAGGAGAAGTGCTAGGTCCCATTGCGGTGTAGTCGTACTTGCTCTGAGCGGATATAACCGCTGTCACCGAACAAGTCCGCTGAGAGCAGGGATGACTACACTGCAATGGGACCTTACTGTACTCCTGGGAGGGTGGTTAAAAATGGTTGCGGATAGGGGTACCCGCAAAACACCGGTTTACTCGCGGGCCTTGGGTTAAATTGTTTTCAGTGTATCATTGAAAATACTCGATGGCAATTGTTCGTCAAACACATATACCAGGTCACTAATACCACTAATACCAGGTCAGGTCACAGAGCTCAGGTCACTGAGGGTCATAATATGAAAATATCATGTGATGCATGTTTTATGGTCCATTTTACATGACAAATGCGATTATGTGGGTCAGGCAGCCTTTGGGGCCAGTTTAGATTATATTCTGGTGAAGGTCAGGTCAATGTCAGGTCAAATAAGGTCAAATTTCAAAGTTGATATTCTTGCATAAAATGGGTATTGGGTATCGAGTCGATGCAGCTCATCACGGGGAGTTCAATGGTGGTCTTTGCTTTGCGCTACGTGGTCTAGGATTGCTAAAAATTGAGTTCAAAAATTTAACATCATCAATTTTGAGCAGTTTTTCGCTATAACATCAGAGCGAAGGGACTATCACATATATTCCGGATTTTTCGAAATTCGAAAAAAAAATTGAGATTTTTTTGCGCTTTTCTATAAAAATCAACTTTTTCATATTGGAGGTCAAAATTCCAAAATTTTGAAAATCCGAGACAGCAGTTTGGTAGCGCCGTTTTTTTTCAACATGACCATGTACAGAACTTTGAAATTGCTTGGTAACTGTAGCTTTTGTGAGCGTTTCAAGATTTCATGTTTTTTGCTCATTTTTGCTCAAACATGACCTCGGTTTTACCTCAATAACTTCTGATCTAAGGTAATATAAGACTTGAAATTTGGTGTGATGGGGTCAAATTAATGCCCGGGAAGGTACTAAGCGTTTTCTTACTATTCAGGAAAAACCACAGGGTGGGTCAAATTACCCCCCCCCCCCCCCAACAGGCGAGGGTTAACTGTATATACCCCGCTGGGCTTCTGGATTTCCATGCCCTGCTGTGGGAAGGGTTGGATGAAAACCCCTTTAAGAAAACCGTTCCTGTAGGTTATGTAGCGATAAGCAGCAGGCTGCATTCGAAAGATCGTTAAAAAACTTTTTCTTCTGGAAAAGTTTCCCATACACGTGCCGCCCCGGACACTGCGTACGCAGTCTCTGTTCGCTGTCTCGTTTGTAAACACTTTTCGCTCATGTTCATTCAACCGCATACCGAATGTGTGCAACGGGCATTCTTGGAGCCTGGAGGCGAACAGGGATGTGGACTTCTGGGAGAGTAGCTTGGCGGGGTTCAGGACAAGAGTGAAACGGTATGTGAGTGAGAGGCAGAGATAGGTAGGTGTAACTGTTGTTCTTGGAAACAAATGTTTCTATCCTGCTTTGTTTTTGCTCTGCTTGTTTAGTGTGTATCAATGTTGTATTTGCTGACTTCATCTGTCATTGGGTAACGCCCGTCGGTGATAAAGGTATAAAGGAAATGACATGAAATGAAAGCATGCTAAACTACTGTGGTCCTGGTTTAGGTTAGGTCCATGGTCAGGTCAGGTCCATGGCCCATTAGAGGTCATTGAAGGTAACATTTCGTTATTTTGACAGTTTTCGCCAAATTGCCACATAATTCGGAAATAAATAGAGCTGTCACCCACCCCGCCTTTCTTTTCTTCGGCGGCTGCCATACACATTACACACCGACTCGGGGCGGACGTGTCAGTAGAGAATGAGCTCGCCGGCGGATCATCACTCTAACCTTGGCAGAGGAGCCGATGCACCGAGTACCTACAGACTGCTTAGTGCCTATACTTGACAACGGTCGACGTACAAACGGGGATGGAAGTCAATGGAGTCACAACCGGGAATCGGAGTCAATGGCGTCACAATTCCGGGAAGTGGAGTCAATAGACAGTAGCCGCGTTTACATAGGGTTAGTTGCCAGATAGTGGAATTCAGATACCGAGACATTTATTCCACTAACGAGACATTTCAGACACATTCCGCTGGTTCTGACGACTTATGCGGCCTTCTGGCCGGATAGGTCGTCAGAACTAGCGGAATGTGCCTGAAATGTCTCCTTAGTGGAATAAATGTCTCGGTATCGGAATTCCAATATCTGGCAACTAACCCTATGTAAACGCGGCTAATGACACTCCACACACACGTCCACCGACGGAAGTGCACCGGCGACATTATCGTTGGCTTACGAGGCAGGCTGTGCAAATGCTATCCCGCGCCCTGCTGGGGGGGGGGGTGTTTGAACACCCCCCCTTGTGGTTTTTCGCGAATATCTCAAAAACGGCGGCGCGGAGCGCCGCCGTTTTTGATACACCTTATCATACATCAATTCTACACATGTTGTGAAAATTTCAGACCAAGGTCATTCAAGGTCAGGTCACCAGGTCACTTGAAGTGACCTCACCTCATACAAAGTTTCAATGTCTGTCATAGCTACACCGAGTGACCGATCGCTTTGAAACTTTCAGCGATTGCTAAGAGCAATAGCATGTACAAAATGTATATCTCAGAATTTTGATATCGATGACCTAAGGTCAGGTCAATTTTGCGACCTCCCCATTATAAGTCAATGGGAGAAAATTGAAATGCGCCTCTTTTGGACGAAAGACATTATAAACACTCCCAAACACCGAATTACAAGTGGTTTAGACACACTGAACATGAAAATGGTGTCCGTGACCCTTGTTTATGCCCTGAGGTCATCTTAGGTCACGAATGGTATCTAACAGTTTTTCGCAAATAACTTTCGATAGAGGCATGCTAGAGCGATGAAATCGCCTTAGATGTGTTCAGCTCGACGATACGGATCGACTGATATGCAACATGACCCTTTCCGGTCAGGTCATGACCTTGACCTGAGGTCAAACTTTCAAGTTGACCTTTCAAGGTCAAAGTATAGTTCATTCGATGCGTCTTGACGAGAGGAACACGATGCCGGTAAAAGTAAGCTCGTACGGGGCTTGGGTCAAAAGTTATTGCAGAAAAACTGTTTCCGAAAAAATCGGCTATTTTTGCAGTTTTTGCCCCCTGCAGGCAAAACCGTTGACGTTATGTCAAATCTGAGAGAATTAGGTACTCAGAAAGAACGTTAATAGGGCTATCGAATGCGCTTTTCCGCGGCGCTGTAGCTCTATTGGTTCCCGAGTTATGCGTTGGCTTCTTGGAAAATTTCGACATTCGACCTGGAAATCGGCGAAATTTTGCCTTCAATGACCTCTGGTGACCTGACCTTTGACCTGACCAAAAAATTGACCGAAGTGATTTCGTCATTATTTTTTACGCTCTTTCGAACGCCGCCTTCCGCGTATCGCTACGTGGCCCAGGAGCCGAGTTACAAGGGGGGGTGTTCAAACACCCCCCCCCCAGCAGGGCGTGGAAATCCAGGACCCCCAGCCGGGCGCGGGCTATAGACACCAGCGTGAACAGCTACCTTCAAAACCGTACATGGCTCTTTATGATACGCATAAAGAGGTTGAAGAGGGTGTATGAAATATCCCATGCTCCGATGGGGTAATTCTCTCTCTCTCTCTCTCTCTCTCTCTCTCTCTCTCTCTCTCTCTCTCTCTCTCTCTCTCTCTCTCTCTCTCTCTCTCTCTCTCTCTCTCTCTCTCTCTCTCTCTCTCTCTCTCTCTCTCTCTCTCTCTCTCTCTCTCTCTCTCTCTCTCTCTCTCTCTCTCTCCCCTTCTATTCACTTCCCTCTCTATGCCTCTCTACCCACCTCTCTTTCTCTCTCCCTCTCCGTCTCTCGCAATAAGCGAAGAGCACCTGGAGGTCAGCCGGTGCACCAGCCCCCCCCCCCCCCCCCCCCCCCCTCCCTCCCCCCCTCCCCCACCGGCTCCGTTACCGTACGCCGCCGTCGCAGTCGCTAGCTGTCACGTGCTACGACGCCGCTCAGTTGAGCGACCGATGCCGCCGATGGAGGGTGGCGGAAGAGTGCGCTGTGAATTGTGAGCGGCCCTCTGTGAGTGGAATTGTATTGGAGGTGAACACAGTGCGTCTGAGGAATATCTTCGAACAGGACCTCAGATTTGTGGTTTTCCGAAGGTTTTTGCTTCCGTTTGCAAACTTGTAAATCTGCATCCACGTATTGTTTGCATTAATGCGAGTATTGTTCAAATACGATTCAAATCAAGCTCGTTTTTCCACAGCTCGCTTAAAGCGATGATTTATGACTAAAACAAGAGGTAGTAACGGAAGCATTTTATGAACAACTGAGGTCCTGGTCGAAAATTTCAGTGTCGCCCATAGAGATGGCCCCAGCCTAAAGCGACAAGAGCTCCAGATTTCTGCAACGGAAAGAATAGTCAAGAGTCAGACTGTTTGTCAGCACACTGACAGGGTTTCGAAGGGTCAGTCTGGGTGAGTACCAGCCAACAGCTGAGCTTGGAAGGATTCTGGTGTCGCCCAAGGCTGCCAGTGTTTACATTTGCCTAATCTGCTAGTATTTAATGATAAACTATTTACCTATGCATTTGGCGTTGAACGACTTGCTCCAGTGCGACGTAAAACTTCCAGTCTACACAACACGGTGAGCTATCCTGTACCGTTGAGTTTCCGTTTGTTCGTCGTCTTTCTTACCAACTGCAGGATACAGACTACAGAGCTCTACTCGTATGGTCAATGGTGTACAGGATCTATGTCTATTGTCTATGGCATACCCACTACACAGGTCTACTTTGTTCAGCGCTGAACGCTCGTCCTCGGATAGATTTGCAACGGACGATGTTCTCGCAATAAGGGTGTCATGCGTACGAGTACGACTGCAAGTAGAGCATATATAAACATTGTTTATTAAACAAGAAAACCAATCTTTCGAAACAAGCATGAACGATGGCCAGCGCTCCAAATTGTTGTAGAGATCTTCCTCATGCTTCAATGTATGCAGTTTGCGCTGGATAGCACACACAAAAGACCTTGGGTGTTTGCATGAAAGCGAGCATTCGTGCCGAAAAAAGAATGGTGAAACAATGGGGCCACATGACTCGGAGAAACGGTGACTTTCGGCGAAATGGTACTTCTGAGCTTGTGACAAACGACGGTATTTGATTATGTTTGCTGCGTCCGATGGTAATTTAACCCTCGCCGGACCTATTGGTTTTCTACATACGCGCCGGCCGAGGGGGGGGGGCGGGTACGACCCCCCCCCCCTCGCCGTTTCGCCCCTGGTGGAGCTAGCGCGTCGCGGAAAAAAACGAGCGTGTGCGCCGTTACGAGACGCAGAGATTGGTACCCGATTTTAAGGTCCTAGGTCAACCGGTGACCTCTGAGGTCAGGTCAAGTGCCCCAGGGTACGGTTCAGTTTTGGTGAATAACTTCGCAAAAAACGGCCGCAGAGCGCCGATTTTGGCAGCATCGTGTTCGCCTCGCTCAGGCGCGTCGAATGATATACTTTTTGTCCGGGTCAGGTCAACTTGGGGTGTTGACCTCAGGTCAAGGTCAGGTCATCACCCCCAGGTCACGAAGTTGGTCGAAAGAGGTCATGTCGCATATCATTCGATTCGGCAGGCCTTCCTGAGTCCATTGGTGCCTTTCCCGACTCGCTAGCTCAATTTGATCAAGAGTTATTGACGAAAAACTAATTTGACCTTGATGACGTCATAAATGACGTCACGGAAGGTCAACATTGCAAAAGTGACGCATCTAACCTTGCAAGAAGTGCATCAAATCACGATTCTGTGTGCTTGAGATAGTTGGAGATCGTTCCCGGCGCCAGAATAGCAGTTTGAATTTTTCCCCATTGACTTATAATGGTGAGGTCACGAAAATGACCTGACCTCATATGACCTTTAGGAAAAATCCGAGATATACAAGTTGTGGGACTCATAATGGATATTAGATTCTGCAAGTTTCATTTCCCTGTGACATCTCCTCTGGCAGTGAGGGCGTTGCGAAGTTGCGACATCTGAAAACCGTGCAGAGGTTCACTTATGACGTCATAGGTCAGTGACCTGACCTGACCCAAAAATGCGGTTGGTGTCAAAAGATTCGGCTTGGATCAAAGGTCAGGTATGCCAAGTTTCAGCTCTCTATCGCCAGCATGTTCGGAGCTATCGCGAAAAAACCCTATGGGGGGGGGGGCGGCACCCGCCCCCCCCCCTCGGCCGGCGAGGGTTAATTGGTTTGTACCCTGTAACTGTATTGAGCTAAACAAATCGGTTTATAGTCTGCTATATTGAGTCCAATTTACGTTCTAGACAACAAAGGATAAGTGTCGTCTATGATACTGCCTATGCATATTGCATATATGCGATTGATGTAAGTACAGTCAATGAAATTGGTGTACGGAGCCACTTTTGGTTCTTGTGTATGCATCAATCTATAGAACAAGTCAACCTAATGTTCACGGAACAATTTCACATGACTAGCTAGCACTTAGCAGTCAAAACATAGCACGTGGCACAGATACACACGTTTTTACGCTGGCATGATATTTTTACTACGAACTCCTCTCAAGGGCACGCATGCGTCCAAGGGTTTGACAGCCAGTGTTGCCAGGTCGAGTGATGCCAATACCTCCAGAAAATGTTGTAAAAACCTCTAGAAACCTCTGTTCCATTGCCGCTGATTATAAAGTACATATACCTACCTCCATACCTACCTCCGTATCACAAACCGTGGCGCCGTTTCAAAGCACGCTGCCATCCGCTGCTAGCGCGTGATGACATCACCAAGCCCATTGCTCCAACACTACCAAAGGGTCTGTTCCAGTCGCACCTCCTATAACACCTCTAAACTCCTCCAAGATTGCTTCCCTGTTCCAGTGTCAGATCTAGCCCCTACAAATCAAAGGAGGGCCCTGCTCCAACCTCCTCTATCTTGCCCTTGGAGGAGTTTAAATGTGTTAGGATTGGAAGTGGGACTGGAACAGACCCAAAGTGTGACGTCAGCGCGCTGGCAGCAGCTGGCAGTGGGCTTGGAAACACCCGGTTGTATCCCCAATCAAGATAATTCACTCATCCTTCGCATGCCTTTGCATTTGTCCACATAACATAACTTGGTGGACTTGGTGCCCACCGTGGGCACCAGGTTTACATAGCCTTGGTGCCCACGGTATATCGAGAACTTTTAGCTGCAGCCGGCGGCCAGAGCCTCAATAGTGAAGAAGCCAAAAGTAGGCTTATCGTTTCCATCAATCTGTAATAAAAGTGTGTTTTAAGCATGCAATACTTAAAGATAATAACATGAAATTAAGTACCTAAATAGTTCTCAAGAGACCTTGATGCTAATTGTCTTTTTTGGGATTTTCAGATTACCTCTAGAAAACCCTCTAGAATCCGGCATTTTTCAAAAACCTCCAGGAGCCCCGAAACGCTCCCCTAAAACCTCTAGATCTGGAGGTTTACCTCTAGACCTGGCAACACTGTTGACAGCCATGCTGAGCGCCTGGGCCTATCTTTCCTTCAGATCTGACTAATACCAGCCAATGGCGACACGGCAATGAAACCAGTGCTGTATCTGAGTAGAATGTAACTTGGCAGCTCCAGATCTTCGTCTGTCATCACCCGTGTTACCCCAATCGGACACATGGTCTCAATGGAACAACATGGAGCAGATAGGCGGCAGGGCTCAGCGCTTTTCATACACTTTGCATGTTGGTATTCAGAGATATCGGACGCATCGGCACACACATGCTGAAACATCTGTTAGGGCTCTATCTCGCCTTGTGGTATTGGCAGCGTCCCTCAGTAAATCGTTGCACTTTGTGTGTGACAGTTTCACATTGCGATTCACTGCACGCGTCTCTGATACCGACAGCCCTCCACTGAGGAATGTCGGACGGCTGACCCGCCGGCAGCGGTCTGTTTGATCCGAGATCTGAGATTATCTCCAGCAATCGAACGATCATGATCGTCATGAGGCTTTGGTTCCGGTCAACGTGAGTTTTAAACTAAGCTATTGATTGGAACTGCGAATGGCGTCAGCACTTATGTAGACAACTGTCGCCTGTCAGCTGTCAGCTAAATGCGATGATGGACCATTCACAGAATGGAACTATGTGACGCGTGACAGTGGTGTTGTCAGTAAACAACGCATTTTGAATGGTGTGTTACTTACGTGCACAGTTGCCAAAATGAGCTATTACTCAGTGCTCTATTACTCCGCAGTCCGCGCATACATACTCGTACGTACATACGTTCGTAGTACGTGCATAATGCACATTATGGGGAAGTGGCGTGATCGTAGCGCCAGAAAGTTCACGTCGACGCGTCCATAATCCCCTGTCCAATGTGGTGTGTTCATTGCTGATTGACAGATTAACTCATCATTATCCATCACACATTTGACCTCTCCTTTAGACAGCTCATTCGCGCCCATGTGTGTGTGTCAACTGTCAACACATCATGTGACAAATGCCAGTTTTACCTTATGACGTCTCCTCACTGCGGCCGTATTTAACGCCACGTAACTCTTTATGCCATAGGCCCGCTGTTACGTCAGCGAATCGTCCACCGGAAACTGCGCCCTTCCGGGCTGCCGGAGTCAGCTAATTGGTCATCAGGGGAGTGACATCCTCTGGGATTGAAATTTTCACCCGAAATCCGGAAATGGATGTAGCACTTATGTAGAGTCATGAAAACTTGGAAATAGAACGATCTCCGCTGGTGAGCTTGCCACCCAAATGGAAACGGAAAATGGTACCTAAGCAATATAAGTAGCAACTGAGCAAGAGGGTTGAATGACTACAACGTGATTGCAAACAACATAAATATTAAGTGATTGCAAAGGAAGGAATCACATTAATAACTGAACTGTAAATTGTAATTGCATTGTTTGTGTGGATAGGAGATACGAAGAAATACAGGGTGACACAAAAAAAACCGGTCATCACCAAATTTCGAATAACTTGAGAAGTTTTATTCAGATCATCACCAAACTTCGGCCACTTTAGGTCACAACTCACACCTATGTAGCAGACATCCACCAGTCAATGGGAGAAAATTGAAATGCGCCTCTTTTGGACAAAAGACATTATAAACACTCCCAAACACCGAAGTACAAGTGGTTTAGACACACTGAACATGAAAATGGTGTCCGTGACCGTGACCCTTGTTTATGCCCTGAGGTCATCTTAGGTCACGAATGGTATCTAACAGTTTTTCGCAAATAACTTTTGATAAAGGCATACTAGAGCGATGAAAACGCCTTAGATGTGTTAAGCTCGACGATACGGATCGACTGATATGCAACATGACCCTTTCCGGTCAGGTCATGACCTTGACCTGAGGTCAAATTTTCAAGTTGACCTTTCAATGTCAACTTATAGTTCATTCGATGCGTCTTGACGAGAGGAACACAATGCTGGTAAAAGTAAGCTCGTACAAGGTTTGGGTCAAAAGTTATTGCAGAAAAACTGTTTC